AATAATTCAATCATGCTAAATAAAATTCTGTCATTTTGGTCCATTTTCTATGCTTGAGTGGCTTTGATATTTTTACATTCACACACTATCTTGGACTTTACAACTTCATCTAGACTTGCAAAATTTGGTATGTGGATCAATCTTAATGAAACACTAGGTCATAAAAATTGTGATGTGGTTGCATATAATAAAGGAGAGTAATCCCACCTCATTAGACAATGCCTATCCTTTTGTTTCACGCACAATATCATGGATTCCTTTTTTATCTGCACAGCATATCTATTTGATGGAAATTGCAAGGGTTTCATATTTTATTCAAGATGAAACATTACAAATTAAAGCACTCCTATTTATGTTTCATAGACATTAATCCCACAGTCACATTCTGGTTCATTCTGTTTGTGTTGAGGAATTTGCAGTGATGGCATAGCAGTTGATATGTTCATGTTTTTGTTAAAAGTTCTAATGATAAATATATGCAAGATCCCAGTACAAGTTTTGTAGATGAAGACCAACATAATGTTCCAATGTTAAAGGAATACTCATTAAAAGCCTTTTTGCTTTCTGTGGCACATATTTCAAATTCGGGTGGGAAAAAATCTAAACCTACTGCAAAGAAATTAAAAAAAACAAGTAGTTTCTATTTTAATTGTCAAGCATTTCAATTCCATACATCAGCATCAACACTAAATCATTTCACAGTCTTGAAAACAATCACTGATATTCACTGAGCTGTGAAATAATGTTTTGAATTTAATTTTTTTTCTACTTTTATTTATGATTTATAAGATGGTGTATACAAACTTGGGCAGACAGATTATTACATGGAGTAAGAATTTCTGCAATAAGTCATTTGAATATATATGTAGCCCAATTGAAACATTTTCATGTTTTGGATATCAAAACTGGACACATTGTATATATATATATATATATATTAAACACTCTTTGGTGAATTTAATTGCTTTACAAAATTTTGTATCAAATCAAAATTTTGTGGATTATAGCATATGGATTGTGGTGTAAATTTTCATTCAGTGTTCATGTTTGTATATTATGCTGATAAGATTTATAGATTCGATGTCAAGAATAGTACATTACAGTTTAATTTCAATTAGTATTTATTTTACATTGGCATAGGTTGGTATTTAGAAAATGCAAAGAATATACTGGATACTTATGTGTTTATCTCATATGTGACAGTCTTTTTTATACTGTGTGTGTAATGTATGTATGCAGAGAATTTCAGTTTTATTTGCACAAGAAAATTTATAATGTTATGCAGTAATGGATATGGGTTATTTCTGTCATTTCGTTTTTTACAGAAGAAAAATTTCATTACACACTGGAGCAAAATGCCTTTTCATCAAACATTTTTCTCTATATGAATTTGGGCAATCAACCAAAGTTAAGTATCGCTGCTTTTGGAATAAAGGTAATGCCAAAAAAATATGGGGCAGTTACCGGTGATGCCTTCTTTCAGTGACTTTGTTTCAGTTATATTGCTACGATGTCTGCAGTGTGGCAGTTTATAGTGATGTCTAGCACTGGGGCATCATACCGCAGACATGTACATGATGTCCCACCAATTCACATCCTGACACCAGGCCAACCAGTCCTAACTCTAGCCTCTTAATGCTGAGCGCCAAGCGAGACAGCTGTTAGAACCATTTTTGTAAGTCTTTGATATGACTCTACCGGGGATCGAACCCACTACCTCCCACATCCGAGGCATACGCTCTAACCACTAGACCACCGAAACATTTAATAATAACACCATGTAATTTTGACTAAAGGACTTCTGATGATGTCTAATTGATCCTAAATGAGAATGGTGCTGATCTTATCCAACATGGCCACTATAGCAAACATCTTGAGAAACTTCCTAAATTGTGAGTCATATAAACATGAGGTTTCCGTTCAAAGAAATCTTGTGTTGTCTAGTTGATCCTAAATGAAAATGATGCTGATCAGGTATCCGTGGTAACCATCTTGAAATCATGTTATCACTACTCATGAATGATATAATGACAAAGACTTTTCACTAGAATACTTCTAATGATGTCAAATAGGTCCTAAATGGATTAAACATCCAAAATGAAAATCTTGTTCTTTGCGTAAGACTATCAGATATTGTTCAACAATTGGGAGTTAAAAAGAAGAACGCTTTATTCTATTAGACCATAGTTTCACTCCCATGCAGGTTAAGACATTTTAACAGAAAGACATTTGTCATTATTTAAACATAATTTTTTAAAAAGACTTTCCATTGGAGTTCACATTTTTTTAATTAATTAACAAGGTATATGCACAAAGGCTGAAAGTGGGTGAGTGAGTTCATATTGAAGAGGCAGCAGCTTTAAATGACAGGTGCCCAAATTTTAAGTTAGCTTAGGGAAACCATTTTTTATTAATATTTAATTGTTGCATACATTGATCATTCATTATAACATCATAACAATAAAAAGGGTCAGACATGGAACACCCCTGAAAGGTACATGATTTACCAATCATGTATAATAAAAAAGCAAATGAAATTTCTTCTTTGTCTCGATTTTTTTTCATCTTTCCAATTCAAGAAATAAAGTTGAGGGCAAAATATAAATGGCTTTGTGTGTATCTTTATCAGTAAATGCATGTATATTTCACAAATTTTAAGAAAAGTTACAAAAAAGTGCTTTGAAAGTGAATTTCTGCTTTCTTTAATCCCATGATTTCTGTGTTAGATAACCTTTAAAAAACATAGTCTCATGTAATGTCCATGCACAATCTAATGCTTAAAAATTTGTTAATTCACGATACTGTTGTTGGATTCCAAATTTGGTTGATTTCATGAATGCCTCAAACCAGGATTGTACAGACCTGCAGAAAATTATTCTTAGTTGATCAGTGGTCTGCATGCCAGACTTACAGCCAAAAAGTTGCATGTTCAAATCCTGTCCAGAGCAGGTCAGATGGCCACCATGATTTTTCTTTGGGCAAAACATTTCTTCCATTTTACGCTCCTTGATGTCGTCTTACATATCTTGTAGGTTCTGTGGAAAACAATTGTCTTCCCACACACACACAGCAATGTGTAAATTTAAATACTGTAAGAAATGGTAATTCTAGTTGATCATAATGTTTCAGATCCAGAAGCATGATTCAGCCCAAGGATCCCTTCATCTATGGGATCTCTTCAATATCATGGAATCTTGTCATCCTGTGTCACAAGTTTATGAGAAGTATTTCATTGGTAGGAGTTGTTTTATGAAAAAAGTTGTTGACATTCTTCTCACAAACTCCACTGTAGTGAATTATACTTTAAGACAAAGGACCTCTCCACCATCTGCCTCCTGGTTGAGACATGGACAATTTTCTCACAGAGGTGATTACAAATTACTTCACATATGATATAATTGCTCCAAATAGGTAACTTTTTCCTAATGGCTTATTGAGGTGGAGGCACTGTTACATGTTCTCTTACACTGCACTTCATTATCATCGAAGTATATGGGACAAAAAAGAAAATGACCTCTCTGACTTTCTGGCAAACTATTAGCCATTATGATAGAATTTGAATGTCTGTAATGAAATCTATTATGGATGCTGACCATTTGAACTGCTCTAGAGCATTATTGGTAATTTCCTGTGTATAATTTGCTGCCTGTGTCCTAGCAACAAAATGCATGTCTTGTTGATGAACCTGAACCGTCATCAGTTCTGTTTGGATGGTTTGATGTATTATGATTAGGTAATGTATTTGAAGACGAAACCATTGTTTTGTAGTAAAATGTTTCATTCATTCTACTTACTCTGTCATCATATGTATACAGCATCTAAACTAGAGCTGTGCACCATGAACCAGAGTATACCATGGATTTCTAAACATACCACAATATATATCATGAGATTAGAGTATGGACCAGAAATTAAATTTAATTTAGCAGGGGTTTATGATCATTTTTTTAATTTCCAGCTCTCAAATAAAAAAAAATATATTGATGATCTATAGCAAATAACACCATATTATGTCCATTATATTATTTAAGATAAAAAAAAATTATCTCGAGGTAAAAAAAATCTTGACTTAATAGAATTCATAGATCCACCTCCCCATCCTTGTCACCCCCTTCCTGGAAATAAATTTGTCAGTATCGTGTAGTAGCTGAATTTGCTGTGTATATGTGAACTGGTGTACATGTGATCTAAACACTGATCAAAGTAGGATGAACAAGCTTATTTGACATCCTATAAAAGAGTACTTACATTAAAAGAGTGTGTTGATAAAAATAGGAAGTGTTGACACTGAAGACTACAATTTACCATCTGCATTATTGATATCATTGCTTGGAGAATTTTAAGTGGGGATATCAACACCTGGGCAAAATATCAGAAATGGCCAATACACATGCAACACAACAATTTAAAAAAGAAGATATTTTATGGGCTTGAGAAATTATGTAAATTTCAACAGAATAAAACTGCTCTCCTGGAACATTATTTGTCCCATGAAGGAATGCACAATACTACATGCTAATAAATAAATTTTTTAAAAAATGACATTTTGTTTCATCTTTTTTTCACAAAATATTTCCAAAAGATAGATTTGATCTAAATATTCCATCTGGCCACCATGTTGGCATGCATGACACATTCACACATGCAATTAAATTTTCATAGATATTATTATAATTATAATGTTCAAAATTAATTTGTGACAACTACAGCTTTTACTGATGTAAACTATCAAACTATTGGTTCAGTGAAAAGTACCATGGTGTGATGTGATGTGATTATGATTTTTAACATAGCTTTAACAATTTTTCAGTCATATCGCTACAATGTCTGCAGTGTGGCAGTTTATAGTATTGTCTAGTGGCATCATGCCACAGACATGTAGCGTGATGTCCCACCCAGTCACATTATCCTGACACCAGGCTGACCAGTCCTACCACTAACCTCTTAATGCTGAGCATCAAGCAAGGCAGCTGTTAGTACCATTTTTAAAGTCTTTGGTATGACTCAGCTTGGGATTGAACCCACGACCTCCCGCATTTGAGGCGGATGCTCTAACCACTAGGCCACCAGAGCGGTTGAAAATTACCATGGTATCTACTGTCCAAAACAATACAGAGGTAAACCAGTATGTATGTTAACACTGAATTCTTTTAATCCCTACCTCCTGCAGTTACTGCAAATGTGTACATTCCACTGCAGTAGAAACTTAAGTAAGGATGGGATTTCAGTATTAAGTTCTCTCTCCAAAGGTAGATCACTCTTGTCCAATTTTCACCAATGTGACCAAATAATTAGTAAGTTTTTTATAGCTAAAGTTTAACTTGGAAGGTCTGGATTTGCTTCATAGCAGTTATAATTCTAAGGTTTTATAATTGGTTAAGTATTATTGAAGAAACATTTCATTCCAAATTTTGTTTCATATTCTACACTTTTGTTGACTTTATTTTGAGAAAATAATTTTAATGCACACACACACCTGAAATTTAAACAATCATCTGTCAGTTTTAATAGCGATAAGAGAAGGTAATAAAATAGTTCATGTTCTCTCATAACTTTGTTATTCTGTCCATTCCTAGACAGCTTGAGATGACAAAAAGCATGACTTCAGATAAAAACTTGAAATAAATGCATGAATGATAAGTAATAATAAAATATGTGATTAACATTGAGATTCTAGACGAAATACAAATCATAAAGAAATGATTCAATGATAATAAATAAGATAATAAATAGCGAGTGTTAATGAGATTTGATTTTACAGGCAAGTGTTAGAGAAATATCTAAATGGTAAACACAGTGATTTTAGCTTATATTGCAAATGCTAAAGAAATACATTTAAAATGATGCATTTCAAATTCAAAAGAAATGCATTTTGAGATACATGTCAGGGTATATACCAGCAGTATCATTACTTCATAGGAATAAAATGTATGTATTTATCATCAGTCATGTTCTCTCCATTACTCGTGATTTTGCAATGTGTTTCTATGTATTGCATATTAATGCTGGCAGCTCTTGTGTTGCTAATAATGCATTCTGATTTTAAAGAAAGAAATCTTGACATTTCTCACTATATTAAAAGTTATCCAGACAAACCATCTCCAATCATTCGAGGTAAAATTCTATTGGAATCTTTTACTGTACCAGATTTATATGGTGGAAATGTGTGTAATAATATTGATAAAAAAGTAATAGCAATAATGATAATAAATTAGAATCTTGCACAGAATATGGTTTTCATTAATTCATACTGTACTATTTATTTGGTTGTGGAATAGTATATAGCAGTAATAAAACTGAACAGTGCAAAAGAAATTTGGGATCACAGAATTAAAACTTTATGAACTTAAATGGTTATCAACTTATACCCAATTTGGATGGCAAGTACTGTATTAGTTTGACGTTTTCAAGGTTGCAGGGTGGAAAGAAATAGATAGAGAAATCAGACTATTAAATTCATTGATTCTCAATTAAATTTAGCAACCACATATCTAATACCTGTCACCTGCCAAATGAACTAAGAACAGTCTCTGATTTCAAAGAATTCACATTTTCCAAGACACACTGTAAATGTGCAATTTGTCATTTAACAGTCAATGTCACTTCAGCTATTGGATTACCATTTATGATTTAAGTAAGGTAATTAATTTAATTAAGTTGACTCTTTGTCACTTTTCTTACTTTGATGCAGGTGATATACTATTGTCTTTTAATCAGCTGTTATCATTGATTCAGTGGCCAAGTGGTTAGAGCATATGCCTCATATGTGGGAGGTCGTGGGTTCGATCCCTGGTCGAGCCATACCAAAGACTTATAAAAATGGTACTAACAGCTGCCTCACTTGGTGCAGCTAACAGATTAGTGTTAGGACTGGTCAACCAAGTGTCAGGATAATATGACTAGGTGGGATTATGCTACATGTCTTCTGCATGATGCCTCACTGCTAGACATCACTATAAACTGCCACACTGAAGAAATCAGTGATTGGTTGGTTGTTGTGGGGTTTAATACCATTTTTCAGCACAAGATAGGCTATACATGGCGGCCAGTATTAATGGTGGAGGAAGAAATCGGGAAATCACCCGAAAGAACCACCGACCCACGAGAAGCTACTGGCAAGCTTTCTCACATATCCACATTTGCCGAATCCTAGACTCGAACCCACGCAGACAGAGGTGAGATGGCAGTGATCCGTAACGGACAGCGCTTTAGACCACTCGGCCACTCGAGGCCCCGAAGAAATCAGTGATATAAATGAACAAATTGTGAAAGCTATGTTAAAAATCCAAATCACACACACTGTAATCATTGACACTATGCTTTTATACTAGTCCTATTACATTACAATGAACTAGTCCTATTACATTACAATAAACTAGTCCTATTACAATAAATTAACCCTATTACATTACAATAAACTAGTCCTATTACAATAAATTAACCCTATTACATTACAATAAACTAGTCCTATTACATGTTTAAATTATCTCTGCCATGTGTTGCATATATTCATACATAAATATTTTGCATTTTCATGTTTTCTCCGGGGCCCCGAGTGGCCGAGTGGTCTAAAGCGCTGTCCGTTACGGATCACTGCCATCTCACCTCTGTCTGCGTGAGTCTAGGATTCGGATGTGGATATGTGAGAAAGCTTCTCGTGGGTCGGTGGTTCTTTCCGGTGATTTCCCGGTTTCTTCCTCCACCATTAATACTGGCCTTTATGAATAGCCTATCCTGTGCTGAAAAATGGCGTTAAGCCCAACAACAACATGTTTTCTCCTTCTGTGTTGTATTTAAACTCAAACTTTTACTGTCTTTTATGCACTGTTGTATTATCGTTTAATCTGCTGTTACCACTGGCAATGTAATGTCTATGCGTGTATAGTTATGCTGTAAATATGTACTGTTGGTGTACCTGTCTGTTAAATTATGAAATACCATTGTTATATCTTTAAACAGTTCATACAGAGCTAGTGTTTTATGTATTTTACTTGTACCAATGACATCAAATAAAATTTCTTATATCTTGTTAATAAAATTAAAATAAGATGAACAGTAAATAAAACAAACAAATGGTATTTTTTAAAATTCCATCCTTGTATAATAATTTTCAGTCAAAAACTTTCATTTGAAAAAGCTGAAAACTGAGAGATTGTTACAGAGAAAGAAGAGGTATTTGCTTCATAGACAAATAGAAATAAAAACTGGAATTTATAACTAAATTGAGTGGCACAAAATAAGTAATTGTTTGTGAAATCTGTTGGCTAGTTTCTTGTCGAGATCATCAATACCACATTTAAAACTGATAATGGTTTCATAACAAGTCTTGATTTGTGTGGTTACATTAAGCAGACCTTCCACAATGAGTGCAATGAAAATCAGGATGTCAAAAGGGAAAAAAAAATCGGATTTTGAAGAAAAAAGATAGGATCAGTGTTACAATCATACATTTGCAGCCATATTTACACCACTTTACATGGGACATGATATTCCCACTGTTTTACTTAATGTGGAAAACATATGCTAGAGTCATACTATGAAAATACATATTTCCATTGTCATCTTTTATTCTGATATTTAGAGCTTGTTGTTGTTGATGGGTTTAAAGACATTTTTCAGCTCAAGACTGTTCATATCAGTCAGTACTAATGTTGGAAGAACCCAGGAAAGCCCAGAAAGAACCACTGATCCACAAGAAGCTACTGGCAAACTCTCACATACCCACATTAGCCAAACCCGAGACTCAAACCCATGCCGACAGAGGTGAGATGGCAGTGATCCGTAACGGTAATAGCTTTAGACCACTCAGCCACTCTGGGCCCATTTAGTGCAAACTGAACTAGAACTAAACATCAGCATAAAAGAAAAAAATGGAAAGATTATAGACTGTCAGTATATGACTGTAGTGTATTCCTCATGGAATTTCTGCATCACTTTTTCTCTCTTTGTACAGCCTTCATGAATAAAAAATATTTTGGAAAAATGTTTGTTATTTTTAAAAATCAAGATTTTGGGGCAACAAATAATTCAGAAATTCAGACTTTTGGATTTGTAAATGATTCAGGATGATGCTGAGAATGAGTGGTAGGTCTGCATTAATTGATCTTGTACATACAATTTCCTTCATTAATTACTCTGATGTGAACATAAATTTGTATTGGTGACCATGTACTAATAAATGATTATACATTGTTTACTTCAAGACTAAGTTCTATTTAATATAGGTTGAATACTAATGTATATACATACACAACTGATATTTATTTTTATCAAACTTTAAATTAAGCAAATCAAGTGTAAAATTTTGTCAACGTTCATTTGAAAACATGCAATAATTGTGATAGAACAGAGGCCAACTTAGGACACATCTGAATATTTGCAAATTTTGGAGTTTATATTATAAAAGGAAGATAATTTTTTTACATTGACTTGATTTTTAGGATGCAAATGGACAAAAAACATTTGAACAAATTTCCATTTCTTCATATTCACCAAAATGTCATTACACAGCAACATTTATCATTTTTAACATCTCTCAAGAGATCTTTGTCTGGATGATTGTCCAGCAGTCCTCATCATCATGGATCTGTACTCTTACGAGATCATATATTGTTCCTGGACCAACAGCTTTCCTTTGGAGTCTGTCTGAATTTTCCTCCAAATGGAAAATGTCCCAGTGTCTGCATTGAAATAAAACTCTACCAAGTCAATCAAGAAACTTAATTACCTGAAGATTCAGGCTGCAGACTATCATGATTGGTGCCATCTGGGTTGAATTTGGAAGGTTCCTCTTAATATTGACTTTATTGGAATGGCAGAATACATGTATATGTCCCTTTGAACTTGATTCCATATATTAAACATCCTGTTTCCATTCATTATTAAATTTTGTGCAATACTTTATTGTTTAGATTTTGACATTTTAGTCCTGGGAGATCATGCACACTATCTTATCAACAAATATTATTTCCTGATACAAAATTTTATGCTACCCAAGCTCAATAGTTATGTCTAATCTATCCATAATCCACCAACATCTTTATTCCTTTCCAAATTTCTACTGATAAAATAGA